CTCACTGAATGGGCGCTGCCTCAGTCAAACTGAGTCCGATTAAGAACCTTAGCTTGAAAAGGCCAAGGTCCCCTACTGCATCCTGGGCCACCTCCAGTTGTCCTGATCTGTATCTGGCCACTGGACCCAGATGGCCCCAGAGGAGAAAGTGAGGCTGGAGACTTTGCACAGCCATCCCTCACTTAAATGCAATTCACTTGCATGTTATGGCATCACCTCCCTGATGTCATGGTCCTCTTTGAGAACAAAGGATAAGCAGCAGCAGCAACATGTCCAGTTTACCTTGTATATACCGTGTTGTACGGAGTTATTGGGATACTTTTTCCGCCATTAAACTATGAGCTTCTAGAGGTCAAGGACTGTTTTTGTCTTTCTTTTTATCCCTAGCACTTAGCACAGTGCCTTGTACACAGTAAGCATTTAAATAATGCTTATTGACTGATGTTTTGCAGAATGTAGAGTGTATAAGTTCCCTTGAAAAATTTAGATATTGAGGGGCAGCTAGGTGGCATGGTGGATAGAGCACTGGCCCTAGAGTCAGGACGACCTGAGTTCAAATCCAGCCTCAGACACATAACACTTACTAGCTGTGTGACCCTGGGCAAGTCACTTAACCTCATTGCCCAACCAAAAACAAAACAAAAATTTAGATATTGAAAGGGAAAATCCAATTTTTTAAAAAAGTTTTGTAAAGCAGAGCCAAGATTAAGGGCAAGAAGACAGGTGGTCATCTTGTGGAGGGGAGAATGGGGGCATGGACACACTGAGAAACACTTTTTAATATTTAAATTCCTTCTACACCTCCCATTGCCTATGGAATAGCCCAAGGCCCTGAGCCTGCTTCCAACTTCTGCCTGGCCCACACTGGTCAACAGTCAGTACTTCCAGAATAAGTACAACCAATAGATATGCTGTCTAAGAAACAAACTAGCAATGAAGATTTTGTACAAGAAGGAAACCTAAACATATACACGTATATCAAAAGGATGTTAACAATTACAGATAACTACAGTTACAACAACTCTTGCTGTTATCTACCCCTCTTTCAAAGTACTCTACCAGGGACACCCTCTTAATTCATAAAGTAACCATCCATCTCAATGCTGAATCGTTCCCTTGTTATCTACTAGTAAGCACAGCAACGTATTTGAAAAAAAATCATGCCGTGTTCCTAAAGGGGTCAAGGGCAAATCACCAGCCCAGATCTTTAAAATGGGCACAAAGGACTGATTAGCAGCAACAAACTTTGCTCCTCTTGTAACCTCAGCAGCCAAAACCTAAATCACCTTTCACCCGGGGTCACCGTTTTCCATTAGCTGAAAATAAAATCATGGAAGATAAACCCATGGAAGTCACTTAAGAAATCCACTTCTTTCTTAATCTGCCCTGTCCAACTTTGTGACTGATAATTTGCATCACCCCAAAGTTCCCTCTTAGAATGGCAAGCTCTGAGAAACTCTCATACATAAGCATTTCTGTTATCATTTTGTGATTTCATTCTAGAAAGCCAAACAGTCTAGATAAAACAGGAAGGCATTTTGTAGTAAAATGGACCTGAAAGTGAAATGTGACCTCAATGTTCACAAAGAGCTACTAGATTCCCCCCCAAAAATAAGATTTTTTGAACTAAAGTAAGTAAACTTTTGAGATGAATAGATGTGATGCTCTTAAATAGTATGTGTGTGTGGATATCATATGTTTGTGTTTGTGTGTGTGTGTGTGTGTGTGTGTGTGTGTGTGTGTGTGTGGCTTCTAGAATAATTATAGTACAAAGATACAGAATTATTGTATAAAATATAAAAGTTTTTTCTTTGATGAACTATACACAACAAATCAAGTATCCTGTGGGTAGCCATTCAAACCTAAAGCACTGAAAGCAAATAAAAGACAAAAAAAAAAAAAAAGGAAAACTATTCTATTCTTCCCAATTGGAGGGGAAGCTCTAGTTTTACTGTTTAAACAATAAACGAGTATCTAACAATGAAATCACAAAATGGAAACAATAGTTCCAGAGCAAATAGCCCAAAATTAAACTGGAATACTTTCTAAATAATTTAAGATCTTACATGAAGTTCTAACTGCCTATTAATGGCAAATGCCAGGATTTGTTCATCATTCTTTGTGGGATCAGCATCATTGGTCCAGAGCTGAAAGGGAACTCAGAGAGGTCCTTTAGTTCAACTTTTTCATTTACAGATAAGGATCTAGGGGTTCAGAGAGACCAGGTGACTATCCAAGGGCACACAGGTTTTAAGTAGAGAGCTGAGATACTAACTTGGGTCCCCATAGCTGCAAGTCCAGTGCTAAGAGGTCAGTATTCTACCCATTGCATAAACCTCATTTGATCGCCTATGAATTCATCATATATGGGTATGCATGTATATACACACATATATACACACACATACATGTGTGAATGTATATACATCGATATATACATACGTGTGTATATACACATACATATGTATGTATGTGTGTATATATATAATATTTTTAGTGTTCGTTTTTTAAAATTTTGAGTTTTAAATTCTCTCCCTTTCTCCAGTCCCTCCTCCATCCATGAAGAAGTCAAGCAATATATCAATTATGAAGTCATGTTTCCATATTAGCCAAGCTGAAAGAAAAAAAGAAAGAACAGTGGAAAAAGTTTGCTTTGATCTGCACCTTTGAATTTATCTAATACCTTCTTTTTATTTTCACTCTGAAGCAATTCTTAAGTTCACAGGGTTTTATGAAGTGGAAGAAAAGAGAGAGTAAATTTCCAGGCATGGTGAATGGCTAATGCCAAAGTATGGAGAAAGAAAATGGAGCATCATGACCAAGGTACAGAGAGGAGGCCAGTTTGACTAGATCATAGAATTCTGGAGGGGAAGTCATGTCCAATTAGACTGGAACGATAGGTTGGGGCCAGGTTGTGAAGGGCTTTAAAAGCTGAACATAGAAGTTAACTAGAGTTAACTGAGTAGGGGAGCTCCATGTTTAGATCTGTGCTTAAGGAAGATCTCTTTGGTACCTGGAGTGCTATCTCTACTTGAGACAAGACCAGTTAGGAGGCTGCTGAAATAATCAAGGTAATAGATGATGGAAGAATGGGAGTTGTGTGAGTAGAGAGATAAGGGCTCAGATTTGAGTAATGTTGTAAAGGTACAAATGGTATGATTTGGCAATTGATGGGATAGGTGGGCTGAGATAGAGTGAGGAGTCAGGGTTACAAACCTGGGACCCTGGAAGGATGGTTATGCCTTGGACAGAAATCGGGAAGTCTGGAAGAGGGAAAGGTTTAGATAATGACTGGTATTACAGTGGATTCCATTGAGAAGACTTCCTAGATTTCTGAAGTTTAATGAAATTGGGACAATGCCATTGGCAAATGGAAGCAAAACCTCACCATTCAAAGGAAATCCTTCTTTTATTTGGACTTTAAACAAGCAGTTTTCCATGACCCTGGTAAATGCCTTCAGCAAACACATATCTCTCTGGGAAACACTTTATTGATGTCAACATTCAGAGGAATATTGATCAGTTATCTCTGTAGGTGAGCCTGCTGTAAAGTCTTATATGATAACATGGGTGTGAGAGTTATCAAAGGTCAGAAGATCTCTCCCCACAAACACTTTCCTTTTCTAGATGACATGGGTCAGGATCTCCAAGCTCAGCATGCTCCCTCACATCTGCCATCCTCTAATTCGTGGAGAAACATTTAACCACAAAGCCTTTATTAAGTGCTCACTCTGTGCCAGACCCTGGGTCAGCGTCCAGTCCCTTTCCTCGGGAAGCTTATCTTTCACTAGGGGAGATGTGATGCGTTCATAAGCAAGGGCCAAAGAAATACAAGGTGATTGAAGAGGGGTAACAATCAACTGGAGGAAACTCTCGAAGGAGCTGGAGAGATGCTAGCAGCTGAGCCACCCAGGGAACTGGGACAGGGAGGGGCTCTAAGAAGAGGAGATGAGAAAGAGGGCATTCTAGGTATGGACAAAGACTCAGAGGTGGGAAATCAAATATCACGGACAGAGAATGTTAAGGAAGTAGGCTTGGCTGGAACACAGAATGAGTGAGGGGGCACATAGTGTAACCAACCTGGGAAGATAAGCTAGAGCCAGGAAAACCCAGAATTTGAAGCCACATTACCCTGGAGATGCCACGAATGACCACAGAGGCATCTCTATCTAACTCCACATGTCACATACTACCCTATACCTATATAAAAATCCAGTCTTGCTTTAAAACAAAATAACACAAAATTTATTTGCTCACCAAGACATCTACTCCAGAGGTATCAAACTCAAATAGAAATGGAAGGGTGAGGACTAAATCATAAAAAAAGATCCCTCCCTGAAGGGCATATTGACTTAGAAAACCACAGATTAACATTATGTTCTATTGTGTTTTTATTTATTTATTAAACATTTCCTAATTACATTTGAATCTGGTTTTGACTGCACTCTGGATTGTTGCCAGAGCTATTCTGAGGCCATGTATTTTGACACCTCTGCTCTACCCCCTCCTTCAATGTTCTCAGAAACAGGAGTAGAAGGTAGGCAGAGATAGCAAGCAGGAGTTGGAAAAGTGGATTAATTTAATCATCACCTTGGGTCCTGCCCCAAAAGGTCTAGAATTCTGAAGAAAGACAGTGAACCTTAATTGACCAGCCACATGCTGCATCCCAGCTTGTCCTATCACATAGCTTTTGAACTTCCTGACATAGTGGTAGAAGCATAGCAAAAGGAATCATTTCCCACATCTTATCCTCTCTTCCTTCAGTGATGACCCAGCCAGAAAGCAATTAGCTCAATATAAAGCCATGGTAAGAGGACAGATAAGTATTATCAATGATGTTAAGATGCTTCACATACCAATGCAGTTGGCTGGAAAACTTTGGAACAATTTCATGATCACTAACTTTTTTTTCCAAATAATGCAGATAATGAACCAAGGTGCTAGGGACAATCAGCCTCTTGGTTAGACCCAATGCCAGCTGCTGGGGTCCCCACACTCACTTTTTGCTGGCCTCACAGACATCAGCGATGTTGGAGAAAAGATGGTGGCTCTCAGTTTTGGTCATTGTATCACTCAGCTCTTTAGAATTTTTAAACATCCGTATCAAGATCTCCAAGCTGAGTAAGTAGGAATGTTCCGAGGATATTACTTCAAACATAGCCTAGGAGCAGGAAAGATTTGTTGTTAACCCTTCTGCATGATATAATCACCAAATACACATTGTGAAATCTGGAAAAAGTTAGTATCATCCTGTATGTGACATGTATACTAGGATTTCCTAGAAATCACCAAAAATCACGCTCAGAACAGAACTGGAAGTAAGGTCCCTGGAAAAAGGGATTGTTTCAATCTTTGCTTTTGTATCTAGTGTCTAGCCCAGGGTCTGTGTGTAGTAGGGTCTTAATAAATAAATGCCCATTGGTTGAATGACATAGGAATGTGATGGCAATGATTTGGGGGAAGGGTAACAAGGTCTACAGATTCTAAAGACATGCCCTAGACAACTGGGAGGACACTGGAGGGATGATGGGGTAGAGTGAAGGCAGTTTAATGTAAGCAGAAAAGAGCCAGAGTTTGGATTTGAATCTGTAGTTCTGGCTCCTTACCACCTGGGTGATTTGAAGAAAATCACTTCCCATTCCCTGGGCCTCAGTTTCCTAATCTGTAAAATTAGGAGGATGGCCGAGATGATTTCAAAAGCTGTGGGTAGGGTTAAATCCTTTGGCTTACAGCACATCCTTTCAGAACCCAGAATGCGTGTTTCACAATGACGCCAGGGTTCAAAGAGAATTATGCACCTATAGATAGACACCTTCCCTCCTCCTAGCTATCAAGGTCCCTATTTCTTCACAAGCAACTGATAACTCTCTTCCTAATTTATGCCAACTTAATCACACTCTGCTGTGGCCAAGTCATTAAAGAGCCACATCACATTCCATGGGACACCAGTCCATGAGTGTTTCTTAAGCACTTACTATGTGCTAAGCATTCTGCAAGGTGCTGGCCAGAACACAGACCCTGCCTTCAAAGAGTTCACGTTCCAAAGCAGGAACCATGTGCCCTTGGCAAGCCCACGGCTAAATAAGTCATTCTACCCGTTCCATAAGCAGCTCTCATTCCTCTTCTCAAGCCTTCAAAAAGACAATGAGGTTATTCTAGCAACTCCCAGGAATCCTGCGTCTGCGTGAGAGCACACGTCCCTGTGAGACGGGAAGCTCCTTGAGGGTAGGGACTGTTTTTGCCTTTCTTGGTACCCCTTAACACAGTGCCTAGCACATACAGGAACTCAACAAATGTTTGTTGACTGATTATTCATCTGTGCACACACATATACATGCCGGTTCTTAAAAAAAAATCTGTTAATGAAAATTAAATAACTTCATTTGTGGGAGTATGACAACATACTCTCACTTAACTGAGCAATGCCCTAACCTCTGATGCTTTCCATCTGAAATAACACTTCACACCAATAAAGGAAAAGTATACTTTATCGAGACAAAATATACCCAGAAAATTTAAACTTGGAAAAAAAGTCCTTCTTTTCCCAAAACCTTATTGAATGTTGCTGGTGGGTTTTGGCCTTCAAATATAGCACCTTCAAATGATTTTCAAAAGGCAAGAACCAAAGCCTTTTGCAACCAAAATTCCCCAAATCAATATTTCATAGGATTGTAGGTTTGGAGAATGAAATGACCTTAGAAACAATATTCCCTGCCCCTTTATTTTACAGAGAAAAAAACTGTAACTCCGAGAGAGAACGTTTACAATCAGAGAACCAGAAAGTGGCAGAGTCAAGCTTGGAAATCACTCTTCTTCTGACTCCGATTACAACGTTCCTTCCACAATATCCCCCTACCTTGGTCACATAAAAGATCACATGGTAAAAACATCATATGAAGAAATGGAAAATCAATTAAAAGTTTGGATACCATGGAACCTTCCCCAGTTGTTTTTTTTTTAAGGCAATTGGGGTTAAGTGACTTGCCCAAGGTCACACAGCTATTAAGTGTCAGGTGTTTGGTCTGAGGCCGGATTTGAACTCAGGTCCTCCTGACTTTAGTGCCGTTGCTCTATCCACTGTGCCACCTAGCTGCCCCCTTCCCCAATTGTTAAGAGCAAGATAAAGGACTTGAAAACTTACCAAGAAGGCTAAATGTGGAAGAAGCAAAAGGGAAAAGACATTACCTTCAAAGGGAAGAAAAATAGGGCATTGCAGAATTTAAGAAGCTTCACACCTATTTTTTAGAATTATATATTCGAATTCTGAAAATTGTTATTCAGTAGAAACAAATGGAATGTAATCTATTTAAATTCATTACCTATTAAGAGAAAAACAAATACCTGCTTGAGATGCTACATATGTCTAAGTGAGACTCCAGTTGTAAGGCATTAGGAATTACCTTGTTTGAAAACTTTTGCTGTGGTATCAATATTTTGAAAATTTCTTTTGGTAATAAAACAATAATTTGGTTGATATCTTCAAGATGTTTTATTAAACAGATATTAATAGCTAATGTCTATGAAGTATTATAAGGTTTGCAAAGAAAGAAATTATTAACCTTCATCAGTTACAACATCCTACCATCATTTAATTGATTGAAATTAATTTTGTTTCGGAAATCTAAGGACGTGATGGTGGCCTGATAGATGGCTGGAGATGCCTGTGGTTGAATATCATTTAACTGTGACAAAGCTAAAAAATAAGAAATATGCAAAACACATACACATAATTTATTGTCATAGAACAACATTCTCGTTATCAAAAGCATACCTCTTGCCTCTTTCTTTCCTCCTGGCTAATAGTTTGGGATAATCCATTCTTTTTCACCTAAATGGAAAATTAAAAAAATGAAATTCAGTACACCCATTCTTTGGGCAACAATATCTTTATTCAGGGAGATGGATGCCTGCAAGCCCTTCCAGCAGGTGATGAATGAAAGGAAATCATGAAAAACACTGACCTCCATGTGTCTCCTGTTTGACAGAGGCCTGAGAGAAGATCTGATCCCACTAGAAAATGAGCCCAAGCTTCAGCAAATCTGATAAAAAAGAAACCTGCTCTATAGAGAGCTGCTGCAAAAATGTCTGTGGTAAACACTTAATACGGTCTTGTTGACTTGATGTGAAATGGCAGGAAGACTGATAACCTATTCCATTCTAGGTTTAAATCATTATTAATGCCTTAACTTAACTTCTCATGTCGAAGATCCAAAAAACACTGATAATAAGTCACATGCCTCTACAAGACTAAACAGAAGAAAAAGACAACAATGGCTATAACTTCGTTAAGTTCACTTTTCAGGTTCATGTTACCCCAAAGCTATAAAAAGAACATTAAATGTGGATTCTGTAAGAAATATCCAATAAAAACTTTATAGATTTCTTTCAAATGTCATAAAGGCCAAAATAATTCCCCAAAACAAACTCAAATAGAATCCTTTTCTGTGGATGAGAAGTTGACGTTTGGACATGGTGCCCAGCAATTCCCTTTAGAAGCCATTAAACCAGAAAAATAATTGAAACATTTGCCTTTGAACTAGTCTTCTTGCATTTTCATTTGTGTTATTGTAACTTGATTCCATTTACAATACATTTTCATCTATTAGCTTCAGCTCACATTACACGCGATTAGATTTCTGAACCAAGGATGGAAGCCTTTTAAAACATTTCCTATAAGACCACATTTACTCTTGGCTTGGGTAATAAGGCCACAGCTAATGAATGGATGAGACTGGTCATCATAAACTTCTAAAGGAAAGCTTGAGATAGAGGAGACAGAACACAACAAAATCCACTGTTAACATGGAGGACAGATAGTATAAACCCATCTTCAATAAAGGTCATTGTAATATTGAAAACCTTGGTTGTTGTTTTAAACAAATACAGCCATTGTTGTGCCTGGCTAGAGCTATTCAGACGTTGGAATTAATTTGTGATGAAGTAAACTGATGGGCTCTATAGTGCCATCCTTTTAGTCAGAGAATACACTGGTGAAAGAAAGGGTAGGAAGCCATTCAAGCAAAGCCTTGCAATGTGGAGGATGGATGGTAAGAGCAGCAGGAATCAATCCAGACAGATTGATGGTATAACTGACAAGGGTAAACCCCAAAATTTTGCTTGGATCCCTAAGATTTACACCTTTTCCACTACAAAGATAACATTTCTGGTGAATTACTTTATGAAGTATAAACAACAAACATGCTGTGTCCAAGGCATCATTTTTACCCAAAGATTACAAATGCTATGAGCAATTTTATTATAGTTTCTTTTTTGTTACAAGATTGCTGTAGATTTAAGACCAGAAAAGGGAGGCAGACAGAGAAAACAAGCCAGAAATACACTGATTTACAAGCAGAACAAAGCCAGACAACAACAACAGCCAGTGAACTCTTCAGCTATCTTGACATTGTACCCTAAGGATAACAGCAGCTTGCCACCTAACCGGCAGCTGCAGCTCCCTATATGTCTGGAGTTCTTAATCTTTTGTGGGTCATGCACCTTTCCGGCAGTCCAGTGAAGAAGACTGTGCACCCTGACTCAGAAGAATGTTTTTAAATGCTTAAAAGAAGACATGAAACCAACTATGTTGAAATACAGATGTAATATTTTTCCTATCCAAGTGCACAGACTCCTCCTCATAAACTCTATCCAGAGGCCCGAGGTTAAGAATCCCCACTATTTATTTGTGTTGTGTGCCCCCCCCCATAGAATGTCAACTTATTGAGAGTGAAGATTATTTTACTTTTTTATTTGAATCTCCAGTGCTTAGCATGTAGCAATTCTTTAATCAGTGTTTTTCCATTCCATTTCAATAACGGTGATGCCTACCAACATTAGCAGCAACCATGGGGTCATGCTATACATAAGCAATATGTGACCTAGGCTAGGGCAGGGAAGGTTGCTTCGGGTTTCAATCCAGCTCAGCCATTTGGTGCCATCTCTGCCATCCTGGGAAAGTCACTCCACTGTGCCTAGGTCCTCCTCTATAAAATGAGAAGGTTGGACTGAGTGACCTCTAGGGTCCCTCTCAGCTCTAAATCTATGAGCCTACATTACTGTCACCAGCCTTAGTTTCTTAGTTTGGAAAAAGTTGCTAGTATAAATTCAAAATACTAGAAAGCCAGCTCCTGAGACAGACGACATGGTGTGCTTCAAACTCTTTTTCTCAAGGGCATGGGACCTTTCCCAACGGAGAATCAGTTGGGACCTTTCCCGTCACCATTTAACTCCACTCAACCCGACATTTCTTAAGTCGCTACTTTGTGTGAGGGGCTGCGTCAAACAGAGGGGGCATGAAAACAAAAGGAAAACTATTTCCTCCTCAAATTGTCATGTACCTCCTCCTACCCTCTAATAGCTTATCTTCTATTGGGGGAGGGGAAGGCACGTAAAATCAATAATAGAAGGAAAATAGGAGGAAAAGAGCAATAATAATTAAGGGGAATGAATGATGATCAAAAGGGCCCAACTGTCCTTTAGCTTGGACGCCATGGTGGTCAGTAGTTATTCCTTTACCAGATTCTTCCCCAGGTACAGCTTCCTTTCTCCAATAAGACCCTGGCCACAACGCAGCAATTAAAAAGTTGGCATAATCTGACTTCCATCTCTTACCTTTCCTCTTCCCTTATCCCTAGAAAATTTTCTACTCTTAGCAGGACTCACTGGAAATGATTATTACTAACTAAAACAATAGCTGACATAAGTTTTATCATGAGCTAGACATGTTATCTCACAAAACCCCTGAGATATAGGCATAGGTAATATGACCTCCATTTTGCATATGAGAAACTGAGACTGAGCAGTGAAATGACTTGCCTATGGTCATATAGCTATTAAGGGAGGGAAGTGGGATCTCAACTCTAAGTTCAGAGTTCTTTCCTCTTCACCATGCAGTCATGGGTTGGAAAGGCTGACAACTAAGAAGAGATTCTTCCAGAACTACTTCTCTCAAGGGCAGATTTCCAGTGGGTATTTTGACTGATAAGAAGTCCTCCTTGCCCAAGGAATACAGGAGACCCGTGGCCCGAAGAATTAGCAAGAGTTTTAGCTATAGCTAAAAGCATGAAGATTTTTTTTCATTCTAAATTTAACTAACACATTTAAGAAACACACACACACACACACACACACACACACAAGAACTTTTCCATATGTAAAGTAGAACAGAAAAAATAGGATTCTTTGTGAAACCCCAAAATCCAACATGTGACTTTCAAAGCTGTCCGGTGTGTTTGTGTTTCCTTCAGTTTTCTTCCATCTCAAAAAAAAAATCCTTCAATGATCCTCTTTCCTTTCTTTTCTCCTTTTTTTCCTGGGAAAAGTTGTCACAAACTCCTCTCTTTCCTTTCCTCATTCCCCCTACCCTACCAATAAAGAAAGAAAAATACAATCCTTGTAGAAAATACACACAGCCAAACAAAACAAACCCACACACTGGCCATGTGCAAAAATGCACATCTCAATCCGCACCTTGGGCCCATCACCCCTCCATGATGGATGGCAGTACAATCCCACTGATCAGAGCTATGACATCTTGCATTCACTGAGTTTTACCCTAAGTCTAAAATACCTGGTGAATTCAATTCCTTAAGTCTTTCATGAGAGTAAAAAATGAAACCTCTTAGGGTTACTGGGAAGTTAATTTTACTAGGGGACCAGTGCCATTTATATCATTCTTTAAAATAGGTAAAATGTACTCCCTTACAACAATCCTATGAGGGGGATAGTGCAGGTATTATTATTCCCATTTTACAGATGTTGAAACAGATTCACAGGTGAGGTATGCTTAGGGTCACACAGCTAGTGGCAGAGCCAGTGTTCAAATCCAAGTTTCAGTCAATCAATCTAGAAACATTTATTAAGCACCTACTATATGCCAGACACTGTGCTAAGTGCCAAGAATACAAAAAGAGGCAAGCACAGTCCCTGCGCCCAAGGAGCTTACAATCTAATGGGGGGAACAACATAGAAATAAACATATACAAACAAAGTTATATACATGATAAGTAAGAAATAATTAATAGAGGAAAGGCACTAGAATTAAGAGGGGATGGGGAAGGCTTCCAGTAAAAGAAGAGATTTTAATTAGGAATTAAAGGAAGCGAGGAGGTCAGTAGGTGAACACAGGAAGGAGAGCCCTCCAGGCATGGTGGGCAGCCAGGGAGCTAAGAGATGGAGTGTATTCTTCACAGAATAGCCAAGAGGGCAGAGTTACTGGATCGAAGAACATAGGGAGGGGAGTAAGGTATAAGAAGACTTGACAAGATGAGAGGAGGGTAAGATCTGAATGCTAAACATTGGAACATTTTGTATTTGGTCGTAGAAATAATAGGGAGCCACTGGAGTTTATTGAGAAGGGGTGGTGGCAGAGTCAGACCAGCAACTTTTGGAAAGTTGCTTTAGTGGCTGAATGGAGGATGGATTGTGGAGGAAACTTGAGGAAGGCAGACCCACCAGCAACTATTGCTATAGTTCAAGCATGAGGTGAGGAAACCTGCACTGGAGGGGGGGCAGTATCAGAGAAGAGGAGAGGAAGTAGTCAAAAGATGTTGCAAAGGTGCAAGGCAGAGCAGTTATGGGGCATCCGACAAAGTGAGGAATTCAAGACGTCTTCTAGGGTTCGAGGTTGGGGGACTGGGAGGATGGCGGTTCCCTCTATAGTAATAGGGGAGGGTTTGGGGGAAAGATCATGAGCTCAGTTGAGATGTCTACTGGACATTCTGTTTGAGATGTCTGAAAGTCAGTTGGAGACCCAAAGACAGGAAGATTTGAGAATTGTCAGTATTGAGTTGGTAATTAAATCCATGGGAGCTGAGATCACTGAGTCAG